GATACAATAGAAAAAAAAAAAAGAAAGAGAGAGAGAGAGAATTAGATATAGTCTCGATTAATCAGCTAAATAAAGGGGCAGCATCAAAATAAGTTGTTGAATAAGCTATATGACATTACTAACACAATTTCTTTAAGTTGCATAAAAATTAACGAAGGGAGCTGTTTCAATGACTAAAGTGACATCAGCTTCGGGCTGGAATATGGATATATAATACACATGTATATATGTATATTAAAGTTACGTATTTTATCCTAACTTTCGATTTTGTATAAAAAAAAGGTTTGACAATATACAGTGAACATGCGAGCAAATGCAGGGGGGAGGCATTGATTTTGCCAAAAACTTGCTAAGCTTGTTTAGGAACATAATATAATGAATTACGGAGAAAACTTATTAACCTGCAGATTCCACATTTATCACAGTGATATTGATTCTTTGAGACCTGTAATGAGAACAGGTTTTGTGTTTATAAAATAGATATCAAATAAATCGTATCTATTTATTTGATTATTGATCAGAGAATCTTACATCATCATCAAAGAATTTGCATTTCGGGCAGTAGTATTTCCCCAAACAAATGCCACAACTAATGCACACTTGCTGGACCTACGTAACAAGTAAAAGATGAAGATTTTTCATTAAAAAAATCATCAATAAGCACTTCTATTTACAGGTCATAAATATTGAAACTTACATCTTGTTCGGTGTTACACAAAGAGCAGATGATCTGAAAACAAACAAAGTCAATATAAGTATAAGTGACGTTATACATATGATTAATTGTCTAAACGACAAACTATTAGATTCAATCCGACTATTGAGGTTGAGCCAAAAGCAAGCTCAAACCAATAAAATAACTTTAAAAATGGCCTATAAAGCATGTAGCCGAACGAATTTGAATGCAGATTTTTGAAAACCGGGCACCAGTACAAACTCCAATACCACTAAGCTAAGCCATCTGTGATCAGATAGTAAGATGATGACACCTTTTTATCAATAGGTCAAATGAACTTAGCAATCACTTAGTGATACTCGATAATTTCTTTTACCGACAAACATAACAAGAAATTATACTTTTTACTTTCTAGCACTGGTTGGTGAAAGGTTGAACAGTTGAGATATTTCAAGCTTCAACCCAGGAGTCGGTAAATCTTGTTTTGAATTCACCTTTCTGATCATATTGATCTATTATTTCAGTGGAATACAATATTCCTTGTCGATTTCTCTCAAACTCAATAGAACTACAGAAGTAATCATAAAGAAACTGAAAACTAGCCCAAGTTCATTCATAATGCAGTCACAAATACTAATTCACCTTAAAATAGCCAAAAAAAAAAAAGAAAGAAAGAACAAACTAACCCTTTTTATTTCATGACGCGGGATATCATGGCGCTCCAGAAGATCGACATCTAAAGAATTCTGCTCAAATACAGATTAATAATGTGAATTTATTTGTATAAACATGTTAACATAAAGGATCCAATCAACATAAATATAAACTAAAAAACAAGTAAAAAAAACTACATAATGATTGCACCTTTGAATCATTGTGGCAGTGCCTGCAATCGAATATTTCATTGCAACAAGGAGCTATAATCTTGCACTTCCTTTGATAATGTGAGCAACTGGAGATTTACACAAATCACTCCCTATTAGTATAATTGCTTATACAGACATAAATAAGACATTGAGCAGAAAAAGCACATTTAATATATAAAATATAGTAATAATTATAACTCTAAAGCACACACAAACACAGAGAGAGGAGGGAAATAGCAACATACCCATATTTCTCAAACCCCATCTCTGACTTACATTCATCATCAACATGTGGATGAGAAATAACCTCCATTATATGATCTGAATATTTCTGCAAAAGCCTCAAAATTTCACGAATTCCACCCAAAAAGTAGAAATCAGACACAAAAACCCTGAAAGAAAATGCAGAAAAAAAAATCAGAAAGATAACTACAAAAACAGATCTATCGAAAAACAAATTTCAAAGATGTAACCTTTTTAACAAAGTAAAAATGCAGAAACAAGAACAGCTAAAGAATCTGAACCCAAAATCGAGCGAGATATTTAGTTCAGATTGAGGAGCCCATTAGCATTAAGTTCAAATTTGCACACAGGCCCCTTAAATATCCAAATTTTCGCCAAAACAATTGCTTTTTACAAACTCAATTTCCACATCTTCTCCTCAATTTCTAGCTTTAGAACGCCGGGTGAGTCAGCCACACGACAGCATCAAACCGGCTATATCCATTGAACTATTATGCTTACCTCACCGGCCAAAAAAATCAGAACAAATATTGTAAGGAAAAAGTGAAAATGGGATGCTTTAAAACGACGTCGTGGCTTTGTTCACGGGCAAGAAAATATCTTACCTTCACAGGAAAGGATTTTTGTGCGCAAATACGATCTTGATAGTCGTTACCTACACTTGGGTTTTGATTTAGACATGGCATGTTAAAACTACGTTGGGTGAAGCTAGCTGATAAACTAATAATAATCATTCATTGGTGTCTGGTAATCCATAAGTGGGATAATAAATGATTTGTGGGTGAGGAAGGATTAGGTAGGGTTCTATTAGTAGAGAAAGATGATCGATCCATCTATCTATCATGATTGTGCATGCAGATTAATATAATTGATTCACCTTCATATATTTGGTGTCATCTTTATGAAGCGTGACAAACTCCGATCCTTGACTTTCTCTTTGGATATTGAAATGGACATAAAGACGTGACAAACTCCATAACTTTTTCTCACAAAAAACGTGCAGGCGGACGCCTTAGCCCTGTTAGCTTCGAGTGTCAACATGAAAAGTGTAGAATACGTCCAAGTAGGACGGAATGAACAAGCCTTCGTAACCAGCAGCTCCCTAATGAACTTCGAGTCGACCACTTAGAAGGACGACTCTGGGTGGATGCGACCAATAAGGAGATAACTAGAGACTGAGGCATTACCAGTCGATTCAAAGGAGGCTAGATCACTCTACACCTGAGCGGCCCGGTTCACGATCATCGCGGACAAATTGTCCATAACTAGCCCTCATGAAAAAGAAGATAGCCAAATTCCAGGCTCACATAAAACACATCTCCAAATTCGAATTTGGTGGGATTTGGAGATGATCGACCTAAAATGCATAGCAATAATCATCCACCAATGTCTAACAATCCATAGCAAGTAAGAAAATAAATGATCTGTGTGTGAGGAAGGATTAGGTAGGGTTCTATTAGCAGAGAAAGATGATCGATCCCTCTATATATCATCTGACTGTGCATGCAGATCAATATAACTGGTCCCCTTCATATATTTTGTGCCATCTTTATGAGGCGTGACAAACTCCTTTACTTCCTCTTTGGACATTAAAATGGAAATAAAGGCGTGATAAACTCCTTGACTTTCTTTTACGAAAAATGTGCAGACTAACACCCTAGCCCGGTTAGCTTCGAGTGCCGGCATGGAGAGTGTAGAATACGTCTAAGTAGGATGGAATGAAAAAGCCTTCGCAACCAGCAGCTCTATAATGAATGTCGAGTCGACCACCCAGGAGGATGACTCCGGGTGGATGCGACCGATAAGAAGATATCTAGAAACAGGGACACCACCATCCGATCCAAAGGAAGACACCTGAGCGGCCCGGTTCCCTCGTCAA